AAGAACCTACTCTTCATTATATTGATTCTTTATATTGTTCTCTAGTTACCATTTTATTGATTTCAGCCCTCAATTTGATTATTTCCTGGCTTCTGCTCCTCAGGGGTATATTGGTTTCTTTGTATTCTAAATCTTTCAGTTGTGCTGTTAATTCTCTAGTGTATTCTCCTGTTTCTTCATGTGGGCCCTTAGCACTATGAACTTTCCTCTTAGCATTGCTTTCAAAGTGTCCCATACGTTTGGGTATGTTGTGTCCCCATTCTCATTGAATTCTAGGAAATCTTTGATTTCTTTTTTTATTTCTTCCTCGACCCAATAATTTCGCAATTAGGTGTTACTAAATTTCCATGAGTTTTTAGGTTTTCTGTAATTCGTGTTGCTGTTGAATTCTAACTTTAAAGCATGGTGGTCTGATAAGATACAGGGGGTTATTTCAATTTTTTATACCTGTTGAGGTTTGCTGTGTTGCCAAGTATGTGTTCAGTTTTAGAAAATGTTCCATGAGACACTAAGAAGAATGTAAATTGTTTTGTATTTGAATGGAATGTTCTATAAATAACTGTCAAGTCCAAATGCACCATAACTTCTATTAGTTCCTTTCTTTCTTTGATAAGTTTCTGTCTCTTGTTCCTGTCCAGTAGTGAGAGTGGGGTGTTGAAGTCTCCCACTATAACTGTTTGTGGTTTTATGTCTGATTTGAGTTTTAGTAATGTTTCTTTTACAAATGTGGATGTCTTTGTTTTGGGGGCATAAATGTTCAAAATTGAGACTTTATCCTAATGGATTTCTCCTGTGATGAGTAGGAAGTTTCCTCCTTTATCTCTTTTGATTGAATTTAGTTTAAAATCCAATTTGTTTGGTATTAGGATTGCTACCCCTGCTTGTTTCTTGGGTCCATTTGATTTGAAAATCTTTCCCAACCTTTAATTCTTATGTACCATCTGTCTTTGAAGTTGAGATGTGTTTCTTGTGTGCAGGAGAAGGATGGATTCTGTCTTCTTATCCATTCTGCTAATCTGTGTCTTTTTATGGGTGAGTTAAGAGCCTTACTATAAGTATATTAATGACCATTGATTGTTCATTCTTGTTTGTTTTGGATTTGGTGGTGGTGGTGAAATTATGTGTGGGATTCCATACCTTTTTTTCTTTTGGCTGTTGATAAAGTAGAGTTATCTATTGCCTATATATCTATGGTTGTAGTTAACTTCCTTGGATTGCAGTTTTCCTTCCAGAACTTTCTGTAGGGCTGGATTGGTGGATATGTATCTGGTTTTGTCATGGAATATCTTGTTTTCTCCATCTATGTTGATGGAAAGCTTTGCTGGTTATAGTAGTCTGGGCTGGCATCCATGGTCTCTTAGTGTAGGTAGAATATCTATCCAGGACCTTCTGGCTTTCAGACTTTCCATGGAAAAGTCAGGTGTAAATCTGATAGTTTTGCCTTTATAAGTTACTTAACCTTTTTATTTTTCTGTTCTTAATATTTTCTCTTTGTTTTATATGTTTGGTGTTTTGATTGTTATGTGGCGAAGAGACCTTTATTTTGGTTCAGTCTATTTGGTATTCTGTATGCTTCTTGTATTTTCATTGGCATGCCTTTCTTTAGGTTGGGAAAGTTTTCTTCTATGATTTTGTTGAATATGTTTTCTGAGCCTTTGAGTTGGATTTCTTCACCTTCTTCTATACCTATTATTCTTATGTTTGGTATTTTCATGGTATCCCATATTTCCCAGATCTTTTTTTAGGGATTTGTTGAACTTAAGATTTTCTTTGGTTGATGAGTCTAATTCTACTACTGTGTCTTCAACTCTTCAGATTTTCTCTTGCATCTCTTGCATTGTGTTGGTTATGGTTACATCAGTAGTTCCTGATCAATTACCCAGCTTTTTTATTTCCAGCATTCCCTCAGATTGTGCTTTCCTTACTGTCTCTATTTCAGTTTTTAGGGCTTGAATTGTTTCCTTGAGAGATTTGTTGGTATCTTGTATTGTTTGGTTTTTTTTTTTTTCCAATTTTTTAAGGGTTTTTCTCATATACTCTTTGAGCTCCTCTATCATTTTCATGAAGATGTTTTTAAGGTCATTCTCTTCTGCTACATTTGCATTGTGATGTTCATGTCTTGTTGGTGTATGGTTTCTAGTCTCTGGTGGAGACATATTGGGTTTCCTGTTGTTGAATGTGCTTTTATATTGTCCTCTTCTCATCCTTTCTTCTGGTGGGTGTAGAGGGGTTTCTTCCTCTCCTAGTGGGTATGGGACCAAGGATCCCTTCTGGTAGATGCAAACAGATCCAATATACTGATATCTGTCTTCTTCTTGTGCGTGGAGGTGGCACTGTTCCTGGGGCCTCAGGACTGTCCAGGTGTACCGGATACCACTGCAGAGTTAAGATCTGCTGAGCAGATCCCTGGCATCAGATGTCTCTGAGCAGGGCCTCCACAATGTTTGTTTTCATGGAGCTTCTACACCACTGGAAACTAATATGACAAGCTGGAGTATTAAAATGAAATGTTTGATATGAATTCATTTAAAACTCAATTAGAAGACTACCTTCAATATACCACACCACTTTATTGATCCACTATTTTCATAAATGTTATCACTAAAAAGGATTGTTGGTTGACCATTTTCTACCCAGGTTACTTCTAAGTTTTTTGGTGTATAATTTAATGAATCAGATTTCACATGTGCCACTCTTTTGATGACATACCTAACAAGAATATCTGTGATTAACCAAAGGCATTTTTTGTGGCTTCAGTTATTCACTAGAACTTGTGATTTGATTGTTTAAAGACAGAAAGAGTAACATATTGTATATAGTTATTTCTTTTATAATATATATATATATATATATATATATATATATATCTTCCAGGGATATCAATGAAAATGCAATCACATCAAATTAATTTTCCAAAATTGTGAGTTCATGTAAAACTTGAATGTTATGAAGCTATTGTACTAGGTACCATTTTTATTAGTTGGTTAATAGCTTAGTATAATGGATTTTGATGAAATTTGCTCTGCTCTTTCACCAATATTTTTATTAGCACATCAAGTATCATTTGTACTTCTGATTAATTTTTGTACTTGTGTTCTTTCAGTGAGCAATGAATGATCAACCTGGTGTCATATCCTTAAAGAAAATTGAGTCTCACTTTTCAAGAATGTATTAATGGCCACTATTCCTCCATTCTTAGCCATTTTTGTGATGAATGAGATTTGTGTCTAGATTATTTCTGTTATACATAGATAAAGGATTTACTTAGAAGAGCAACTTCATGACTCAGAATAAAGCAAGAGAAACCTGTAAAAACAGATGATTGGAACAAAATAACAAAGGAGGATTATCCTGTTAGTGGCAACAAATAGAAATACTGACACTAAAGGATTTTTCTTTAGGATATGAAATAACGGCAGCAACAAAAATTTGATCTTGAAAATAAACAGAGTGTTACGATTGGCAGCATATCATATTCATGCTTCACAGTAGAAGACAGTATGGTGAAATGAAGGGGAGAAAATTTCCACTCATACTCCAGCTAGTTGACAGATTAAAATGAAAACCCAGCAATGAATAGTAATGGGTCATCTTTAAGATTAGAAAATGTAGAAAAATGATGTTTCATGGGAAAAATATTTTAAATAAGCATGTAAACTACTAAGTACTCTAAAGTGTGATATAGAAACCTTTGAATCCAAAATGAAAGAATAATAGGAGTTCTTCGAAACTGAAGACTTGAATACACAAGAAGAAAAATTATGTATTCTAAAAATTTATTTGTAATATAAGGATTTAATAAATTTATATATTAATGTCTTGCAATGGTAATTTCATTGTTTTAACTATAGATTTCAAATATAAAACTAGAAATATACATGAAAAAATTCACATGAAATGGAAGGTAAATAAATAAACAATGCAGCTGTGGTTATTTCTAAATTGGATAGAAATGTTCAAGAAATAAAGAAAATACTGAACTTCACAGTAAAATTATTCAAGGAAAATAACCATAACTTATAGGGGAAATATACTGTTGATTCAATTGGATACTAGCTAAAGAACAAGAAAATAGTCTAGTGAACTCAAATATGGGACCCCATCATAAAGCAATGAAAAACACATGAGAGGAAACAAGAGCTGAAACACTCATAAAGAAAACAGAAAAATAAGACAAATTATTAACAAAGTTTTAGATGATTTTTAAATGAATGAGAAAATACATCAGAGAAAATACTCAGATATAAAAAGTAAAGATATTAGAGAAGTTAAACATTTTGATAATCAACAGAAAGCAACAAGAATCTGTAGAAAGGATTAGCATGTTCAGATGAATAAATAAAAATGAAATAGGTCATCATTAACCTGAGGTCCCATTTGAAGATGGCTTATTCCTTATAATATACAGTCATTGTTATAATCAATAACATATCACTGAAAATTAATCAGCATCAAATGGAATGGAAAAGGACAAAGGGACATGAGCTACAGATAAAAAGTAAAAGTAATTAAGCTATATCTATTTATGAATTTAAAGATTCTCAGAGATGGTAAAACAAATGAATATATGTGGTTACCCAATCCTTTTATTCATAACTAAGTCATGGCTTTGTCAACAGCAGTTTCTTTGTTAAAATTTATCACAATCTGGGTAGAAGATTATATCCTTCTATTTTACACGTATGTTTTTTATTAGAATTCTAGAATAAAGTAATGAGTAGAAATAAATGTCTTCTAGGACCTTCTTCTCAGTGTACACACATGCAAAGGAATAAAACTATGAAAGTTCAAAATCAAAGAATCCCACATGAGTTCTACCAAAAAACTCTGATGAATCTTTACATAATTTGAGAAATCTCATATTCTCAATCTGTACTATTACAGGGCTTGTATCACCATAGCAATGGAAAAAGTATGAATAAAATAAATTACCACTATTAGTGTAAATTAATATTATGTTTGGAGCCCAATCCCTAATGATCTCTTTGCTCTCTTTTCAGGCTGACTACTAAGAATATCCACTTGATTTTTTCTCTTTATTTTGCTCTTGAAAATATCAACAAAGACACTCATATTCTGCCAAACATTTCTCTGCTAGTTAAAGTTGAATGTAATTTACTGGATGATTGGAGAATGAATAGTTTATCCACAAGAATTGGTGAATTTCTTCCTAACTACTACTGTATAAATCAGAGAAGATACTTAATTGTACTTACAGGTCCAATATGGTTATCATCTGCAATGCTTGGACCACTCCTGTACATCACTAATAGACCAGAGGTAATGATGAGTGAGCAAGTTTTAAAGAAATATTGGCTTCTTTTATTTTGATTTTCAGATAAACAGGCTCACAGAACAAGTGTGTATATGTTTATTTGAGGCAGAGTATTCAAAGCATATATTCTCAGAATGTATTGTGACATACAATAGTACTTTAGCATACATACACCCAAAAGAAACTGAGAAAATTGAAGTGTTTTAGAAGCAGTCTTAGTTCATTTATGCTTTTTAAGATATTTAGAAGAAATCACATTTGATTTAATGAGAGGAAAATATACATGCCTTAATATTCCAAGCATTTGATGAGCACAAATATTTTAGAGTGATCATTATGTATTCTAACTTCTTCAAGTTATTTTTTATGTTTATGGCATTCAGATTTACTATGGGCCATTTCATCCTATTCTGAGCAGTCGTGAACAGTTTCCAAATCTCTACCAGATGGCTCCTAAGGACACAGCTCTGGCCTTGGCAATGGTGTCTTTGGTGGTATATTTCAGATGGAACTGGGTTGGAGCAATCATCTCAGATGATGACCTAGGACTTCAGTTTCTCTTTGAATTGAGGAGAGAGACACATAAAAACAGTGTATGCTTGGCCTTTGTACACATTATTGTGGAAGATAAAATATTATTCCAGAAAAATGCAAATATCTTTTATAATGAGATCATAACATCATCAGCAAGAGTTGTTATCATTTATGGAGACAAAGACTCTCATCTTCAGCTCAACCTTAGACTCTACAGATTAGTAAATGTTCAGAGGATCTGGGTCACTACCTCAGAGTGGGACTTAATCAAACATAATGAGAGATTCCTTCTTGATTCCTTCTTTGGGACCTTTACTTTTTTGCCTCATTTTTCTGAATTATCTGGTTTTACAACATTTATTGAGACAATAGATCCTTCCAAGTATACTAATCCATTTGCTCTTGCTAAATTATGGTGGATTTATTTTAATTGTTCCACAAATTCATTTAATTTAATGAAAATTAAGAATTCCTCAACAGACAAACTATATATATGGTTACTCAAGCACAAGTTTGAAATGTCTGTGGGTGGTACAGGTTATGTCCTATACAATACTGTGCATGCTGTGGCCCATGCACTCCATGAGATGCTGCTACAAGAAGGACATACATGGCCAAATTATTCTGGGGAAAGGCTGGAATTTGACTCTTGGCAGGTAATAAGTATTCTAAATGAATGCAATGTAGAATCTAAATATAATTTTCCTAATAGATAATGTGAGTTCTATACAAAAACTCCAGGATAATTTCTAGCATTCACAGAATTTATAAACAGGTTAACAAATATCACAGGACCCTTATTGATTAAAAACTCTACTACAGAAAAAATAAAAGAAAGATTTTCATGATATGTGCCAAT